TTAAATTCCTACCACGTTTCTTTGAATTAATATGTACTTATATGATGTACTGTGATTCTATTGGGTATGGTACTATATGTTAGAGTGTGTCAGTACTTACTTCATACACAGTCACCACACTGATCTCGGCAACCTACCTATACATTTCTCACATACCTACACATGTAATGAACGTGTGGTGAACGAGAACACGGTCATCATGTGTGGGAGTTCTCCACATTTTACTGACTACTATTTGTTTCTTAACCACGGCCAATTAATGCCACTTAGAGGAACACTAAAAATCGTGGTGATGACATAATCACTGTGGTTACCCAGTGGTTAACTTTGGCTACCTTTGCATCGCTGCTTTGTCAGACTAGTTTGAAATATTTCATGATTCCTATGTATATATAATTGTAGGTAGGAAATCCGATGATATAGGCCTACCGGGTATATAAATTTATAATGTATAACCCTTTATATCTGTATAATCCTATCTCTATAACATAAGCATATTTAAATAATTGTATTTGTATATTCTTTTCTTAATATCTCTGCATAAAAACTATCTGTATTAATCCTATCTCAGATAATAATATAGTGTTGAACAACACATTTAATAACTATATCTTCCAGTTTCATTGAGCATCATTCTTATATATTTTTTCCAGCCTATCATGTCAAAAACTGTATTTTCATTTGAAATTTTAAGATGTTTGAAAGCTAGGAATATTTAAATTCATTTAATGTGAATTGGCTACATGTATCAAAACACACAGTGTACAAGGAAAAAATGATACAATCAGTGTTCTATACAAGTTAACCATCCCGCAGAGCCAGGGAATAAACACACAGTGTACAAGGAAAGATTATACAATCAGTGTTCTATACAAGTTAACCATCCCACAGAGCCAGGGCATAAACACACAGTGTACAAGGAAAAAATGATACAATCAGTGTTCTATACAAGTTAACCATCCCGCAGAGCCAGGGAATAAACACACAGTGTACAAGGAAAGATTATACAATCAGTGTTCTATACAAGTTAACCATCCCACAGAGCCAGGGCATAAACACACAGTGTACAAGGAAAAAATGATACAATCAGTGTTCTATACAAGTTAACCATCCCGCAGAGCCAGGGAATAAACACACAGTGTACAAGGAAAGATTATACAATCAGTGTTCTATACAAGTTAACCATCCCACAGAGCCAGGGCATAAACACACAGTGTACAAGGAAAAATGATACAATCAGTGTTCTATACAAGTTAACCATCCCGCAGAGCCAGGGCATAAACACACAGTGTACAAGGAAAAATGATACAATCGGTGTTCTATACAAGTTAACCATCCCGCAGAGCCAGGGCATAAACACACAGTGTACAAGGAAAAATGATACAATCGGTGTTCTATACAAGTTAACCATCCCGCAGAGCCAGGGCATAAACACACAGTGTACAAGGAAAAATGATACAATCGGTGTTCTATACAAGTTAACCATCCCGCAGAGCCAGGGCATAAACACACAGTGTACAAGGAAAAATGATACAATCGGTGTTCTATACAAGTTAACCATCCCGCAGAGCCAGGGCATAAACACACAGTGTACAAGGAAAAATGATACAATCGGTGTTCTATACAAGTTAACCATCCCGCAGAGCCAGGGCATAAACACACAGTGTACAAGGAAAAATGATACAATCGGTGTTCTATACAAGTTAACCATCCCGCAGAGCCAGGGCATAAACACACAGTGTACAAGGAAAAATGATACAATCGGTGTTCTATACAAGTTAACCATCCCGCAGAGCCAGGGCATAAACACACAGTGTACAAGGAAAAATGATACAATCGGTGTTCTATACAAGTTAACCATCCCGCAGAGCCAGGGCATAAACACACAGTGTACAAGGAAAAATGATACAATCGGTGTTCTATACAAGTTAACCATCCCGCAGAGCCAGGGCATAAACACACAGTGTACAAGGAAAAATGATACAATCGGTGTTCTATACAAGTTAACCATCCCGCAGAGCCAGGGCATAAACACACAGTGTACAAGGAAAAATGATACAATCGGTGTTCTATACAAGTTAACCATCCCGCAGAGCCAGGGCATAAACACACAGTGTACAAGGAAAAATGATACAATCGGTGTTCTATACAAGTTAACCATCCCGCAGAGCCAGGGCATAAACACACAGTGTACAAGGAAAAATGATACAATCGGTGTTCTATACAAGTTAACCATCCCGCAGAGCCAGGGCATAAACACACAGTGTACAAGGAAAAATGATACAATCGGTGTTCTATACAAGTTAACCATCCCGCAGAGCCAGGGCATAAACACACAGTGTACAAGGAAAAATGATACAATCGGTGTTCTATACAAGTTAACCATCCCGCAGAGCCAGGGCATAAACACACAGTGTACAAGGAAAAATGATACAATCGGTGTTCTATACAAGTTAACCATCCCGCAGAGCCAGGGCATAAACACACAGTGTACAAGGAAAAATGATACAATCGGTGTTCTATACAAGTTAACCATCCCGCAGAGCCAGGGCATAAACACACAGTGTACAAGGAAAAATGATACAATCGGTGTTCTATACAAGTTAACCATCCCGCAGAGCCAGGGCATAAACACACAGTGTACAAGGAAAAATGATACAATCGGTGTTCTATACAAGTTAACCATCCCGCAGAGCCAGGGCATAAACACACAGTGTACAAGGAAAAATGATACAATCAGTGTTCTATACAAGTTAACCATTCCGCAGAGCCAGGGCATAAACACACAGTGTACAAGGAAAATGATGCAATCAGTGTTCTATACAAGTTAATCACCCCACAGAGCCAGGGCATAAACACACAGTGTACAAGGAAAATGATGCAATCAGTGTTCTATACAAGTTAACCATTCCGCAGAGCCAGGGCATAAACACACAGTGTACAAGGAAAATGATGCAATCAGTGTTCTATACAAGTTAATCACCCCACAGAGCCAGGGCATAAACACACAGTGTACAAGGAAAATGATGCAATCAGTGTTCTATACAAGTTAACCATTCCGCAGAGCCAGGGCATAAACACACAGTGTACAAGGGAAAATGATACAATCAGTGTTCTATACAAGTTAACCATTCCGCAGAGCCAGGGCATAAACACACAGTGTACAAGGAAAATGATGCAATCAGTGTTCTATACAAGTTAATCACCCCACAGAGCCAGGGCATAAACACACAGTGTACAAGGAAAATGATGCAATCAGTGTTCTATACAAGTTAACCATTCCGCAGAGCCAGGGCATAAACACACAGTGTACAAGGGAAAATGATACAATCAGTGTTCTATACAAGTTAACCATTCCGCAGAGCCAGGGCATAAACACACAGTGTACAAGGAAAATGATGCAATCAGTGTTCTATACAAGTTAATCACCCCACAGAGCCAGGGCATAAACACACAGTGTACAAGGAAAATGATGCAATCAGTGTTCTATACAAGTTAACCATTCCGCAGAGCCAGGGCATAAACACACAGTGTACAAGGGAAAATGATACAATCAGTGTTCTATACAAGTTAACCATTCCGCAGAGCCAGGGCATAAACACACAGTGTACAAGGAAAATGATGCAATCAGTGTTCTATACAAGTTAAACACCCCACAGAGCCAGGGCATAAACACACAGTGTACAAGGAAAATGATGCAATCAGTGTTCTATACAAGTTAACCATTCCGCAGAGCCAGGGCATACACAGAAGTGTCGGTATCATCCTACACTTAAAGTTTGAGTGTGGTGCATGAAGGGTTACAGATTTTTGAACACTCATCAAACCTTTGATGATTAATACATTCTTGTTTGTATATCATATTACCTGCATCTGTCTTCAATGATTGTCTGATGGATCCGTCCTGTCCCCCCTAAAACACAAAGTAGACTCTTTCGTTCCTTGATACAGAATAGACTATCATGTTTTGTAGTGTAGAACAGGATTGTAGTTTGTGACTTGATTTTAGTTCTGATTGTATTTACTCTGAACACATTGTTTCCAGATAATTTTCAAGTGGGTTCAAGGTCAAGTTATAAGTAGATTCAAGGTCATCATGTTTTGGCATGTTCTCTGGTAGGGAGACTTTATATATTATGATGGAAGGCATTGTAGTCATTGTCTTTGGAATTTGTTTACAGTACGTTTCAGAGAATTGAAAGTGAAAACTGATTTTGACATACAAAATGTACATTTAATAGAAAAGGAAACAACATCATAAACGAAATAAAGATGTAACCGTCTCCAGCATCACGTTTTATGTTGGTGCTATGAAGACATTGATTTCAAATTCATTTGTGGAATGTTGCCGTGAAACCTGTATGTCTATTACAGATTTAGAATGTAGTTCATGTATACTAAAAAGGGGTGGAGGTAATGTTCCTGAACTTGATCTGATCGCTGTTTCTTGTACTGTTATCCCAGTGTACCTTTCAGAACAGTATCATGTTGTAGCTTAGTAATGCTCCGAACCAATTTTCCTAATGTTGCTTCAAGCGAACTTTCTATATAATTAAACTGAAATAACAAAGCAATATAAATGTGATAAATTTGTAATATTAGAAAAATTGCAGAGGTGAAATCACAGCATGAAATTTAATGGAAACAAAATAAAGGAATAGAAACATTTAAAAAAACATCCTTCTCGAGGACAAAGATATTCCTAGTTTAAAATCCCTTCAGATGAAATATTCCTGTCCTACAGCTGTGCACATTACAGGGTCATATGATTTTAATCACATTTTGATATTTATATTCATTGAACAAAAAATTGAATCTGCAGGTATCAATAGTAGGCCAGTAATGTTTTCATTTCTTGAATATATCTGTTGTTATATATTTTTAGTGGACGGCTCAGCTCAGCTCTGCAATAGTTAGGTAATGACTTGATTTAGGTAATCCAAAGATGCCCCTAATTACCACTCACAGTTGTAATTATTTTATTGTAATTTTATCGCCAGCGTTACCTGTTCATGCGAGGGCTGATTCAGCAAGAAATTAAACAACGGCGTGTCCACTACCTCAAGTCTGCTGCAGAATGTACATCACGAGCAATTGTATCTCTGGAACTCTCGGAGGATCCCATCAAATCTGTCCACCAGGCTGAGAAACTTCAAGGGGTATGTATCAAATCTGTCCACCAGGCTGAGAAACTTCAAGGGGTATGTAGCAAATCTGTCCACCAGGCTGAGAAATTTCAAGGGGTTTGTATCAAATCTGTCCACCAGGCTGAGAAACTTCAAGGGGTATGTATCAAATCTGTCCACCAGGCTGAGAAATTTCAAGGGGTTTGTATCAAATCTGTCCACCAGGCTGAAAAACTTCAAGGGGAATGTATCAAATCTGTCCACCAAGCTGAGAAATGTCAAGGGGTATGTAGCAAATCTGTCCACCAGGCTGAGAAACTTCAAGGGGTTTGTACCAAATCTGTCCATAACATAGACAGCACAAAGGATATATATCAGATATGTCCATTTTACATCTGTTTTAGCTCACCTAAAAAAATGTGGGGGAGCTTATGTTATTGTGTAGTGGCCGTCGCCTGTCCATCAACAGATGGCCATAGGGGTATTGAAATAAGGTGATAATACAGGCCTATGAGCATCTTGTTCAATATGATTCTTGGAATTCTGCATCAAATGGAGTACAGTTCATGCAATTTGCATGTCTGTTTATTTTTTGCTAAGTCTCATAAACCTGTGACATTTCCATGACCATCTCCAGTAAGAAACTGCCTTCACTTCTTGCCCACCTGGTCAAAGATCTTCTCGTTAAAGGATCCAGTTGTCACCATGCCCTCCTGGTCAAAGATCTTCTCGTTAAAGGTTCCAGTTGTCACCATGCCCACCTGGCCAGTAATCTCAATGCAGGCCACGGATGGCAAACTTTGTAAATTTCTCAATTTCTTTTTGAAAAATAATGAAACAAGTATCTCCTTTTATCCTTGTTTTTTTTATGATCACTTTTAAGGCTTAGTCATAATTTAAAGATTTTCCAAAATGCAGTATGTCTTGGTGAAGACTTGTGTCGTGATGTCATTGATGTACAACTGGTTATGTGTTTACTTTTGAGCCTCCAGTAGCCTGCTCCCTATTTTGTTAGTGTTATTTGTTATACAACTTCTCTGTTTATATCTGAAAACCATCTGTTTGTGGGGGTCTATAGAGTAAGGTCCTGTCTGTGTTAATATTTGTAAACCATCTGTTTTCGGGGTCTATAGAGTAATGTCCTGTCTGTTTTATCTACTCACAACTGTTCAGGTCTACACAGAGCCTGGCAATATACAGCCAACTTGTATACTTACCACATAGGTGTGTTTTGTTACCTGAATTGTATCATTGTTTGGTCACCAGATGACAACAGGACCATTGACTTTCCTGTTTATTTACTTTTCTTAAATTGGCAAAAATTGATATCATATCTGAGCTCTTGTTTGACTTAAAAGAACTGTTCTCATAGTATTTTTAGCCCATCATCATCATCTGGTGGTGGGCTATTCAAACCACCCTTCGTTCGTGGTCTGTCATTCCGTCTGTCCTGAAACAATTCTTGTTAGCGCTATTTCTTAGTGCTAGAGGGATATTTCTCCAAGAGTTTCACATAAAAGTTTCCCATGGTCCTTACTTATGCATAGCCAAAATACTTATGCATAGCCAAAATACTTATGCATAGCCAATTTTGGGACTGATCACAAAACCAAGATGGCCAACAGGCAGCGTTCTTGGATTTAATATTAAAAGTTTTTTAGCACTATTTCTCAGAACTTACTTGAGGGATATTTCTCAAATTTCACACGAAGGTTCCCTATTGTCCTTATAGTTAGGCATATCAAATTTTGGGATGAAGGGTGAACCAAGATGGACAACAGACAGTTAACTTGAATTTTGAGAGTTAAATTTTGTTAGTGCTAATTTTCAGAAAGTACTCTAGGCATCTTTCTCAAATTTCACTTTAAGGTTTCCCATGGTCCCTTTTGTTACTCATTCTGAATTTTGAGGCTAATTGGAAAACCAAGATGACTGGCAGCAGATGGCCATATTGAATTTGAGTTAAAGATTGTTATCGCTGTTTCTCGGAAATTGATGGAGGTATCTTCCTCAAATTGGATATGTAGGTTTCCCATGGTATTGTACATCTTTCTTATGAAACTGATCAGAAGAACAAGATGGCTGCCAGGCAAACAGAGTAAACAGATAAGAGAAAAGAAGAGATAAGATCGAACTGATATAGAACTTATGAAGATGGTTACCGTATGATGGTTAGTGCAAAGATCCCTCAGGGGTCATAGTCAATATACCATGAGTAGGTTGTTATCACTTCAATACTTTTTCACCTCTTTCTTCTTGCATATAGTTACTGTACGTACCTCAGTAGAAAAATAATTTCTCTGTGTAATAGTCGTATATCTAGATCTGTGTCTTTTTAGCTTCATTGTAATGGTCTAGATATTTCAGTAAGTACTACACACATGATGCCATTTAACATTTTGCATTTTTTTTTTTTGCAATTTTTTTATGCTTCTTTCTTAATTATTGTGTTCAAGTAATATTGATGAAAAAGTGTTTAATTGACATTTTGTTAACCAAACTATACGGAAAATATTTTAATTCTTTAATGTATGAAAATAGAACTAATTTCAGTGTCATTCATGTAATCATATAATTCAAGTAAAAAAGTAATGCAGACACACTTTAGTGAAGACCTATGTTTTATATATTTGAATAAAAAATTGTAAACAGCTGATGCGTTACCTTTTTTTGTCACTATTAGATAGGCGGAGAGACCAAGAAGCGACTGCTGACCTACAATGATGGAGAGGAGATTAATGATAATCCGCCCAAAGGTGGAAAGTTTGTCAGTTCCGCTGGCGCCATACTACTGACTTTGTTAGAAGCCACAGAGAAGGCCTTGGCAGATGATTGTAGGTGAGTATCACCGAGAGATCTGTCCTGGAACAATGAGAGGCATCGGTTATAGGCAAAGCTGCTCAAAAGACTGCCTCTAAAATATACTGCCTGTGATAGTTCATAGAGGACCACTAGTAAAACCCTTTGTTGTAGTGGTTTTTCTCTACCTGTATAAAACCACAACCTGCAGTAAGACAGCATTTTATGGACTTTCTGAAGGTGGTCTCTGAATACAGGTTACACTGTGCATGTACTATAGAGATGTATTATAGAGATGTACTAAAGAGATGTACTATAGAGATGTGCTATAGAGATATGTACTATAGAGATGTACTATACAGATGAACTATAGAGATATGTACTATAGAGATATGTACTATAGAGATGTACTATAGAGATGTTCTATAGAGATATGTACTATAGAGATGTACTATAGAGATGTATTATAGAGATATGTACTATAGAGATGTACTATAGAGATATGTACTATAGAGATGTACTATAGAGATATGTACAATAGATATATGTACTATAGAGATGTACTATAGATATATGTACTATAGAGATGTACTATAGACATATGTACTATAGAGACGTACTAAAGAGATATGTACTATAGAGATGTACTATAGAGATGTACTATAGAGATATGTACTATAGAGATATGTATTATAGAGAGATGTACTATAGAGATGTACTATAGAGATATGTACTATAGAGATGTACTATAGAGATATGTACAATAGATATATGTACTATAGATAAATGTACTATAGAGATGTACTATAGAGATATGTACTATAGAGATGTACTATAGATATTAATGAACTATAGAGATGTACTATAGAGATATGTACTATAGAGATGTACTATAGAGATATGTACTATAGAGATGTACTATAGAGATATGTACTATAGAGATGTACTATAGAGATATGTACTATAGAGATGTACTATAGAGATATGTACTATAGAGATGTACTATAGAGATATGTACTATAGAGATGTACTATAGAGATATGTACTATAGAGATGTACTATAGAGATATGTACTATAGAGATGTACTATAGAGATATGTACTATAGAGATGTACTATAGAGATATGTATTATAGAGATGTATTATAGAGATATGTACTATAGAGATGTACTATAGAGATGTACTATAAAGATGAACTTTAGAGATATGTACTATAGAGATGTGTACTATAGAGATGTACTATACTATAGAGATATGTACTATAGAGATGTACTATAAAGATGAACTATAGAGAGATGTACTATAGAGATGTACTATAGAGATGTACTATAGAGATATGTACTATAGAGATGTATTATAGAGATATGTATTATAGAGATGTACTATAGAGATATGTACTATAAAGATGAACTATAGAGAGATGAACTATAGAGATGTACTATAGAGATGTACTATAGAGATGTACTATAGATATGTGTATAGAGATGTACTCTAGAGATGTACTATAAAGATGTACTATAGAGATGTACTATAGAGGTGTACTATAAAGATGAACTATAGAGAGATGTACTATAGAGATATGTACTATAGAGATGTACTATAGAGATGTGTACTATAGAGATGTACTATACTATAGAGATATGTACTATAGAGATGTACTATAGAGATATGTACTATAGAGATGTACTATAAAGATGAACTATAGAGATGTACTAAACAGATGAACTATAGAGAGATGTACTATAGAGATGTACTATAGAGATGTATTATAAAGATATGTATTATAGAGATGTACTATAGAGATATGTACTATAAAGATGAACTATAGAGATATGTACTATAGAGATGTACTATAGAGATGTACTATAGAGATATGTACTATAGAAATGTACTATAGAGAGATGTACTATAGAGATGTGTATAGAGATATGTATTATAGAGATGTACTATAAAGATGTACTATAGAGAGATGTACTATAGAGAGATATACTATAGAGATGTACTATAGAGATGTACTATAGAGAGATGTACTATAGATATGTACTATAGAGATGTATATGGAGATGTACTATAGAGATGTATATGGAGATGTACTATAGAGATGTACTATAGAGATGTACTATGCAGATGTATATGGAGATGTACTATAGAGATGTACTATAGAGATGTACTATAGATATGTGTATGGAGTTGTACTATAGAGATGTACTATAGAAATGTACTATAGAGATGTACTATAGAGATGTACTATAGATATGTGTATAGAGATGTACTATAGATATGTGTATAGATATGTACTATAGAGATGTACTATAGATATGTGTATAGAGATGTATATGGAGATGTACTATAGAGATGTACTAAAGAGATGAATATGGAACATTTAAAGAGAATACTGTATACCTGGAAACATTAGCCAATTCAAATATTCGCCCTGCACCAGTAAAATCTATGTTCGCACAGTGTCAAATTTGCCTCTCACATGTTATAACTGTATGGAATGTTAACATATATCCACTCCCATGATGAATTCGCCCTCATAGCTGCTGACAAAAAATAATCTGTAGCGAAAAATGTCCTGGTATAAAAAGTATGTCCCTGGTTCATAGTCAGGTGGCGTGGAAACAACTACGGGATCAGGGGAGAGAATCTGTGTTTGGTTTATTAGCTGATGTGTTGTACTCTCAGATCATGAGAATGTACAGTGGGTTGGAGTATTATCTGTTAATGTTGGAAAAGGTCAAAACATGTTCATTTGTTCGTACAGATCACCAACCTCTTACATAAATCCAAAAGTAAATGTATCAGATTGTTCATGCCCAGTCAATAACTGGTCAGCGCTGAAGATGATTTTACAGGTTTTATATTGGTCATGTGTTGAATACTTTGCACTTAAACTTTAAGACCTTGTGTTGTTATAACTGCTATAACCTTTACTATTGTATGTGCGGGAATCTGGGTGCACGTTTATGTCTTGGCAAATAAACTTCATATGTTTAGAAAACAGACTGAGTCCAGCTTTACATCTGACCTTCTCTATCACTAGACAGGAGGAAGTTGTTCTGGTCCCTGAGTCTGAGGTCAAGGATCGTGCCAGACAATTGTCAGAAGAATCATTCCTGAAAGATCACGATGATGGTAAGTAGATAACTGACTAAGAATAGGTCTTTATTTGGAGAATTTTTAGATGAAAAACTTAGTCTATAATGTACGTTCACAAGCTGTCCGGGCCTCTTGAGCAATATAAATACATGTATAGGCCAGCTGGTCCTCTTCTTGTTCTGTGACCTGTTTAGATATTTCTTCCTATAGAAGTGCAGCATTCTCATGGAATATTTCTGCACAGGGTCCTTGCTCTATGTTTGATCTGTGTAGGTTCACTGATTCCCTTTATATTTGCCTTATACAGGCCCACTGGGCCCCTTGTTCTATGTTTAGCCTGTACTGGCCCATTAGACCTTTTCCTTTAGGTTTTACCTGTACAGGCCCACTGGGCCCCTTGTTCTATGACAGGTTGTTCAGGCCCACTGGGCACCTTGTTCTATGACAGGTGTTACAGGCCCACTGGGCCCATTGTTCTATGACAGGTTGTATAGGCACACTGGGCCCCTTGTTCGATGACTGGTTGTACAGGCCCACTGGGCACCTTGTTCTATGTTTAGCCTGTACTGGCCCGTTAGACCTTTTCATTTAGGTTTTACCTGTACAAGCCCACTGGGCCCCTTGTCCTATGTTTAGCCTGTACTGGCCCGTTAGACCTTTTCATTTAGGTTTTACCTGTACAAGCCCACTGGGCCCCTTGTTCTATGACAGGTCTGTGTGCAGCCTGGTGGAGAATGGAGGTGCTGATTAAGCGAGACTTGGTGAAGAGGAGGACATTACACAAGGAGCCCATGTACCAGCTCCTGTCCCTGGGGAGGGAGGCTGCCTGCCATGTTAAAACACGCTTCACCTACCCCCAGGGCTCTGGTAGGTCCATGTACTGTTAATACTCTAGGAGGACTTATGAAGATTCATTAGTATGAATCCAACTTTATCAAGAATAATTAATCAGACAGTATTTAAGAAATCTATATATGCTTTTCTAACAATGTATTTCTAAAAAAAAATAGTCACATGAATTTACAATATGTAGTGGTAAGCACATCTGTTTGTGGTCAAAAAGGGCATGTTTTTGACCTTTTATGGAGCACCTGCTAAACATTTGATAAATTAATTGTATTTTACAGGTACCAGCTGTGTGATAGAGGAAGGATCCTATGGGTACACTTGTTTGGTGTGTTTTCTGTCCTAACTACTCACCACACTAGGTCCTGACACTATCACAGCTACTCTGTGGCTCTATTTGTCACTCATCTGCATGTGCTATTTTGATATCGGGATTTAATTTCAATTAATTGCTTTACCTCCCTCAGTGCAGATTTGTGATCTTTTTGTTTTGCTTTTTTCCCATGAAATTATAAAATACAATTAGTACCAAGTCAGCTGAAATATTCAAAAATGACAAAAATATCATGAAAATAAATCTTCTATTATTTAATTTACGGTGTTGTGGTGGGTGATCAGGTTCTGCTTTAATTAATTCCTAAATATTGTAATGTCTTATTCAAGCCATTCTGTGTCTGCTTTCTGTTAAACTGAATTATAATGATAATACCAAGATTAAAGAGGACTAGCAAGTGTAAAATAATTTGCAGAATTTTATTTGCTATTCTGATTCGGTGATTTCATTCTTCATACTTTTGGTTGATCAAATTGTTATTTATCTAATTTTAACACAGGGCTTTTTCTGGGGACTTTTTTTGGTCAATAAAGGTTCCATTGCCAATTGATGCTATTTCCTATTTATGCTTAATTCCTAAAATTTGCATTTTATTCCCAAATTTTTTATTCCCAACTGGCATATTTTCCCCCCAAAATGAATCAAAAAGGCCCTATCCCAAATTAATGGGGAAAAACTAATAGCATAAATACATTAACTTTTTTAATAGTTTATCAGATAGGAAACATTATAACCTATAAGATAAAATGAGTTCTAATTTATTTTAAATCTTAATCCGAATTTGCATCTTTATTATGATGAACCTTTATATCTAGAAATAAAGGTACTTGCCTTTTCGTGATAAAAGGTGTATCTTCAAGGAATTTAATTTATTTATACAATGTAATTTTTATTTTACAGTATCTAATAGGAAATACTTTTAAGATGTAAATTTTGAAAACGAGACTGTTTTGACAGATCCAAACGTGAAAGCAGTTCAATCCAGTGGACAGAACAACTTCCTGTATACCAATGACAAAGGACGTGATGGGTAAATTGATATTGAAATTACAATTGTTTAGGGAAAAAAAGTGATAGTTTATTTTATTAACCTTAAGGGTAAGTTTCTGTGTGTTTGACATGTCAGATCTATGCAGTTGTCAAATACTGCAAGGCATGCATTTTGTGTGTGTGTGTGTGGGGGGGGAGGGGGGGGGACTATAGGCTTGGACTCCACCAGTTATAATTCCTAGAGTTTGTCTGGGCACATCTTTCTATGTCACCGGAAGTAACTAGATGTGGTATACAAGGATCCAGACATCATGGGATGACAGAAGTTATGCAAAAAGGAAGTCACCGTGACCTAGGGTGATCTTTGACTTCAACCTTTGGATAAGTTTGTACTGGGCATATCTTCTATACTTTTCACATGGAATAACCAGATTTGGTAGGCATGCATGTCTTTGCTGGCAGAGTACAAGAAGTATGTCACAGTGACCTATAAGGTTAGACAAGTGTACAGTTTTGGTCAATAAAGAAATCATTACCTGTGGGGGACTATGGATTACCTTGCAATACTTTGCTTTGTTCTTATTGTTAAACAAATGGAAAATTATATTTATACATTTCACACTAGAAATGAGTACATCTTATTGTGTACATGTGTATTGCAAAGTTTGTCATTTTCCATTATAGGGTAATACTGCAGGTGGACCACAGAGAACATGGTGGTGATCGCCTTGGTCTGGGACAGGTAAGTCTTACTTCTGTGGTGATCGCCTTGGTCTGGGACAGGTAAGACTTACTTCTGTGGTGATCGCCTTGGTCTGGGACAGGTAAGTCTTACTTCTGTGGTGATCGCCTTGGTCTGGGACAGGTAAGTCTTACTTCTGTGGTGATCGCCTTGGTCTGGGACAGGTAAGTCTTACTTCTGTGGTGATCGCCTTGGTCTGGGACAGGTAAGTCTTACTTCTGTGGTGATCGCCTTGGTCTGGGACAGGTAAGTCTTACTTCTGTGGTGATCGCCTTGGTCTGGGACAGGTAAGTCTTACTTCTGTGGTGATCGCCTTGGTCTGGGACAGGTAAGTCTTACTTCTGTGGTGATCGCCTTGGTCTGGGACAGGTAAGTCTTACTTCTGTGGTGATCGCCTTGGTCTGGGACAGGTAAGTCTTACTTCTGTGGTGATCGCCTTGGTCTGGGACAGGTAAGTCTTACTTCTGTGGTGATCGCCTTGGTCTGGGACAGGTAAGTCTTACTTCTGTGGTGATCGCCTTGGTCTGGGACAGGTAAGTCTTACTTCTGTGGTGATCGCCTTGGTCTGGGACAGGTAAGTCTTACTTCTGTGGTGATCGCCTTGGTCTGGGACAGGTAAGTCTTACTTCTTTGGTGATCGCCTTGGTCTGGGACAGGTAAGTCTTACTTCTGTGGTGATTAATCGATCGCCTTGGTCTGGGACAGGTAAGTCTTACTTCTGTGGTGATCGCCTTGGTCTGGGACAGGGAAGTCTTACTTCTGTGGTGATTAATCGATCGCCTTGGTCTGGGACAGGTAAGTCTTACTTCTTTGGTGATCACCTTGGTCTGGGACAGGTAAGTCTTACTTCTGTGGTGATTGCCTTGGTCTGGGACAGGTAAGTCTTACTTTTGTGGTGATCGCCTTGGTCTGGAATAGGTAAGTCTTACTTCTTTGGTGATCGCCTTGGTCTGGGACAGGTAAGTCTTACTTCTGTGGTGATCGCCTTGGTCTGGGACAGGTAAGTCTTACTTCTGTGGTGATCGCCTTGGTCTGGGACAGGTAAGTTTTACTTCTGTGGTGATCGCCTTGGTCTGGAACAGGTAAGTCTTACTTCTGTGGTGATCGCCTTGGTCTGGAACAGGTAAGTTTTACTTCTGTGGTGATCGCCTTGGTCTGGGACAGGTAAGTTTTACTTCTGTAGTGATCACCTTGGTCGGGGACAGGTAGGTTTTACTTCTATTGTACCACAGAGACCTTGGTGATGATCGCCTTGGTCTGAGACAGGTATGTTTTACGTCTGTGGTGATCGCCTTGGTCTGGGACAGGTAAGTTTTACTTCTGTGGTGATCGCCTTGGTCTGGGACAGGTAAGTTTTACTTCTGTGGTGACCGCCTTGGTCTGGGACAGGTAGGTTTTACCTCTGTTGCACCACAGAGACCTTGGTTTGGTCCCCTGACTCTGGGACAAGTAGGTTTTACATCTATTGTACCACAGAGACCTTGGTGGTGATCGCCTTGGTCTGGGACAGGTTGGTTTTACTTCTATTGTACCACAAAGAACTTTGTTGGTCCCCTGAGTAGGTGTGGTAGGTCTCCTGTCTTACCACAAAGAACACTGTGGAGATCACACTGGGCTATGTTTCTTTTAACCATTGAAGGGATAATTGATTACACTTAAGTTCCTTAATTAATTCAGCTGGAGAACTTGCGTTTTAAGACACTTTTTGGGGGAAATTTGAGGTACTGAAACATTTCTAAACAATTAAAGTTCACTAAAACCTTAATATTGCTATCTTTAGCTCACCTGGAAAAAGCTTTTGTTATTGCCAGGTGTCCATCAGCCATCCATTGTCATCCATCCCTTAAAAGACTACTAGTCCTGAATGACTGAAGAGGACTTGGATAAATTTGACTGAATGTTGTAGGGAGGGTTTAGTTTTTGTATATACTTTGACATGTTATAGGGAGGGTTTAGTTCTGTGTACATACATCCAAGGGCCAAGGGAATTCAAAATAAAAACATGAAGGATGTGTGATATTGAGATTGTTGTAGACATTGAAAATAATTGTAAAGTTTGAAAGTTTACCTCTGATATAAAACTTTATATATATTTCTGTTTCCCTTTTTTTATCATCTTTAGCTGTGTGACCTCCTGGCAGGGGAGGGTGTGACCTATCGAACAAGACAACTAAGGACAGGGGACTACCAGTGGGTGTGGCGGTGTGAAGGTCAGGAACGTGACCTTCCTTGTATAGCCGAGCGTAAACGTGTAGGTTAATATGATAGCTAGCTACTACAAACTACCAGTGGGTGTGATGGTGTGAAGGTCAGGAACGTGACCTTCCTTGTATAGCCGAGCGTAAACATGTAGGTTAGTATGATAGCTAGCTACTACAAACTACCAGTGGTTGTGGCGGTGTGAAGGTCAGGAACGTGACCTTCCTTGTATAGCCAAGCGTAAACGTGTAGGTTAGTATGACAGCTAACTACTACAAACTACCAGTGGTTGTGGTGCTTTGAAGGCTAGAAATGAAACCTTGATAGCCGAGAGTAGAAAAAGCAGAAGGGAAGAAATAACTGTCCAACCATAAAGAAAAGTTGATAGAAGTGTATAACACAGTAAATAAAATGTTGAATTTAACGTTTAGGTTGTTACTTAAGACCTGTCTGTTTTCAGAACATCTGTTTTCAGAACATTAAGTACATGTATGTAGCTGAAGATCTGAAAAAGCAAACCATACAATTTACAGAATACGGAATGTTATTTGCAGATGACATGGCACGGACCCTGAAGGAGGGACGGTTCTGGACCCAGGTGACAAAGATGAAGGCATTTAAGGCCGAGTTTGAGGAGAGAGGAGTTGCTTGTATTGTTCACTACCTTGTAGAAGGCAACCCAGAGAACTATGTTGTCAGGTGTGGTGACGGTTGTCAGGGGGTAGGCAGATGTGGCTATCCCTCCCTGCAACAGGTCAAGGTACGTATAAACCCTCCCTACAACAGGTCAAGGTACGTACAAACCCTCCTTACAACAGGTCAAGGTACGTACAAACCCTCCCTACAACAGGTCAAGGTACGTACAAACCCTCCCTTCAACAGGTCAAAGTATAGACAAAAACTAAACCCTCCCTACAACAGGTCAAAGTATACATAATAACTAATCCCTCCATATAACAGTTTGAAGAGGGAGAAGACAAATTTTATATAAAATATACAATTTCGTCACTATTGTACAGGTAAACAATACAAATCGCTCACTCATTTGTAGTTTGACAAAGAGGCCAGTCGGTCTTGAAACTTTGCGACACGTTTAATAAGTACATTGTTTGTGTATAAAGTAAAACTTTGATCTCACTTTATACATTTTGTTTTCTTAATTATCACATCAAATTTTATTCTATTAGAGGTATATACTTCAAAGATATTTAATCATTTTTTGTTTGAAAAATTAAATAATGCATTCAATTTCAAGAAGATAGATACATGTACACCTACTCACATGTATGTACTGTACAGACATGACTGTGACCTTTGACCTGTGCTTTATGGTATTGTTCTCCTCAGTGTGCATTCCGGGACCTGTCTGGAGACAAAGACTTGGTGGCCCAGGCAACAGATGATCTCCAAGCTACAGTGGCTGTCATAGCATCTATAACCACTGACCTTCAGCAAAGGTTGGTGACCTTCACCATTTAAAGTGTTCATTATTAATGATATCCCTTGTTTTGATTTGTCCGGATGTTTCAGATTATTGCATTGCATTTGTCAGTAATGCTCATTAATTCTTTGTGTTGTATGCCATATTTTAACCATTTCATTTTCTTAGTTTTCTGTTTTGTAGAACCAGGAAGGGAAAGTTTGACCATCTGGTTGCCTTGGAACTTGACCAACCCAATGAATTGAAGATGAAAGTTCAGACACCTCTAAAATGTGAAAAGTCCAGCGAGTCAAAGGTGATGGCGAGAGAAGAACCATTGGTTGTCGATAGCGACAGTTGTGATTCTCTAGATATTGGATTACATTATCAACGGCCAGTAGGTTCAAAGGTTACCCAGACAGAAAGGTCACCAAAGAAAAATAAGTATCCAACAGAAAGTTCATCAGGGTCAAGAAATAGATACAGTAAGGAAAACACACCTCCACCGAGTCACACGTTTTCTAGTCTGAAAGGAACACAACGAATACCTGCCAACCCTGATGATGAGGATAATGATGCTTATCTTGATCAGGACCAACATAGACCTTCAAGGAACCACAACTGTTCACAGATTTCAAATAGAACTTATACTAGTGAAGCAATTCAAACAAAGTCTGTATCTGATTTAAATACACCAAACCGTGGCTCCTATAGAATTAATGAATGTGAAGACTGGTACTCTGTGGCTGTTACATCTCCACCACAGTCGTCAAGGAAACAAGATTTATCCCCCCTGGAGCCTCTGGTACAGTATCACTGTATGGGGTCGTATGCTGGCCCCTCACCTTCCAAAAGGTCGAGGGAGACCTCTGGGTCTGTTTACAAACCTAAGATGACCAACTTGTCCAACAGTGATGTTAGGGATGTTTACAGACCAAACTTAAATGACCAGACAAATTCATTCAAAAAGGAATCAACAACATCTTATAGACCAAAACTGTCTACCAATAAAAGGCCAGGAGATGTTAGCAAACTAAACACAACAGAGCAAAGAGTATCAACAGTCTCTCCAATCAGCAAATATAGACCCAAAATATCCACCAATAGGAAACCAGGGGAGGAGTACAGGCCAGGAATGACACCTTCTTACTTGCCCCAACCTGATAGTTTCAAATCATACTCTAGTCTGACACATAATTATCGACCAAAAAACGTGACTTCCAAAAATGATTTGGATGCATGCAAACCAAATATGTCAAGTTCTACTCATGGAGATGAATATGACAATACATTTGACCCACAAAAAATGTATCTGCCCAAAATGTCCACTAGCCAGGGTGGACAAGCCAGTGAACTCGGATCTTCCTTTCACAACCCAGGAAGTACGTACAACTCTCAAAAATACAGAGCTGGTGAAAATTTCGATGATTCCAGTGCTACTGATGGCCATGGTTACAAATCACTAGCATTGCATTTTGAACATGTGCAAAAATCACCTGATGTTAACAGCTTTGGGAAAAGGAAAATAGTTAACCTTGATACTGCAAAACAGGCCAAATATATTACCCAACAAATCTCAACAAAAACACCTGCTAAGAAGATAGCTACACGCAGAAAGACTAGTAAAGTTAAACAGGATGATGTGTGGCTTAATGACAACTGTTCTGATAGCTCAAACGATGAGGATATAGATACTCCTGTGGTACACAAACCTGTTCTAAGGGAAGTAACTCCTAAATCAAAGCTTTGGTTAGAGAGAGAGGCAGATTCAGATAGTGATAGTTTACCTTGTGTTGATCTGGGGCAGGAGGAGGATTACGACTTGGATGACCTCCCTGACCCAATATGGCAGCCCCCAGCCACTAAGGGACATCGTCAGAGGACTTCACCATCACCTACCAGTGGAGTGCATCGTCAGAGGACTTCACCATCACCTACCAGTGGAGGGCATCGTCAGAGGACTTCACCATCACCTACCAGTGGAGGGCATCGTCAGAGGTCTTCACTGTCTCACAGAACACAAATAAATAGGAGTCCTGATAATGGAAGTAAAGGCACTTCGATGACATCACCAGGTCCCACAAAGGGGACTAAAGGACAATCACAGGTGTGTTCTAGTCAACTTGAGAATAAGATCCGATTGGTGAATTCTGTGCTACCTCATGTGCCTAGGGTAAAGATTCTGTTTGCATTAGAACTTCACAGCGGAAATGTAGACTTATGTGTGGCAAGCCTGCTGGATGATAATTCTCAGTGACATATGACCCATGTAAGAAGGTACTGGTATGTGTCGCATAGCATACGTGTGTGCTTTTATGCTTAATATAAATATATCACCTTTGCTTTATGAATTACACGAGGGAAAGATGCAAAAAGGGTCACTGTGGCATGGAAGATTACTCTTAAAACCTCCTAAAACTCTTTAGGGAGACCCCCAACTCCTCTGATGGGGATTGGAAGACCGCTTCCATGCCCTCCTCGTCACCCCAAGGTGCCAAATCAGCGCAAGTCTAACATAATCATAAACTAAGAAAAATATTTACTCTGCTACTGATGACCAAAGCCTGTCCCTACAGTGAGATATGACAGAGAAAAATGAACCCTTGGGGAGAGATTCTTGACTGGCTAACCTTCAACTTGAAGCAAGCCCCTGGTTAGGCAATCAAGAATATCACCCTAATTGTCTGTCATACCTCACTCTTGGTGAAGATTTTATTAATCACCTGGGATATTATACCTAGATTTTAGCAATCATATTTTATTCGGTTTTTTATTTCAATTTATAATTGGAATTTAAGGTAAAGCTAGTAACAATGATTAAATCATGGATTGCATTGTAATAGCAACGTATTATGTACATCAGAACTTACAGCATAGTTTTCAGGCCAATAATGAGAAGAACCGATTTAGTTTATAGTTACATGTATAATCGTCCAGAATATTAATGACTATCACAGTCTGCATTATAAACTGCTTGGAAGACAAGTGCTCCAGTCTGTTGGAGTCTGGATTATAAGTGTCTGGATGGCAAAGATTTGGGACTTTATGAGTTATAAATATCCAGATGGCATTTCCAGAGAAAAAAATCAGTCCGTTTTCCATTCCCAATTCTGATTATAAATTCCATTATAAAATCAACACAATAGGTTCAACACTGGACTGGAAAGTCAGATGTATACAATGCACAGTGTCCGTTAGAAGTCATTTATTTCATTGAATTTACTATATGGTTAATGTCCGTGTTGTAAAATGAATCCCTTAAAACTGTAAAATTTTGATTGTAAAAGAAGGAGACCTAATATACAGTAAGCCACTCGGTTGATGTTACGAAAGTGTTGTCACTGTTTATATGGGGATTCAGTCCCATAAAGTCAAAAACTGATTATTAAATTGATCATTGATAGGTTTTATACTTCCAATTATAAATCAATTATCGATTGTTATTTTAAAGCGATCACCAAACACTAAGTAATAAGTTAACTTGAATGTTGGAGTCTAGTTTAACTGACTAGATATAAAGTTTTTATTTTTTTGGGGTTTTTTGAGTCCAGATCTTAAATGTCTAAATAATGAATTTTTCCAGCTGTCACAGTCCCAGTTCATTAGGTTTCACTGGGAACGAAAATGAAGTGTTCATGTGCAGCTAGAAATGTATAATCTAATTAAAATATGCTTGTTTTAATTCATCTCAGAATAATGTTAAATGTATTACAAATATTAAAATACTCAATTGCTGATTGCTATAATATTTGTGTTTGCATACTACACTGTCTTCATGGAATTACACCTGAAGAAAACAGTACCAGTTCAGTAATTAGAGTTACCCCTCTTTCAGCAGATATTTTGTAAATGGCTTTATCTATAAACAAGTGATACATATTATATATATTTACAGTTATGTATGTAAAACCAAGTAATCAAAAAAAAAATCTATCAACAATGGATTAATTAAAGCTTTTCACTTACTCAGAACTTCAACAAGATTTGTGGAGAAAATAGTTAAAAGTACATTTACAACAGAATATTGCTTGATTGAAACCTGACTACAAGAACCAAGTCCATTGTTAATTTAGACTCTGCTCATCTAGGAAACCAGATATTTAGGAAGGCAGTGACTTGAACTATTGGAAACAATTTGGTGTTGACAAGTTTCGGAAGCAGATTTGTCCTGATGATTGCATTTTAATGTTTCCTTTTAAAGATTTTTTTTATTCGTTTTGATTCATTTCCTCTGATCTTTAATGGACATTATTTCATCATGTCATGTCAATTTTGCGAAATGCTTTGCCAAGATTTTATCTTGCAGAGGCAAGTTGATGGATGTTTTAGCTACATGTACATTGTGTGTAGGTCTGGGAGCTATGTAGGTCAGAGACCAAGTATTGATTTTACCCTGTTTTGGTGGAAAGAGGAATCCTAGTGTGAAATGGCAAACATAGATCATATCTATATTGATTTTAAAAGAAACGCTTTTTAAGGTTGTTCACCTAGTGTCACTGTGTTTACATTGATACTGAGCACATTTTAGATTGATGTTTGTATCATAAAGCGTTCTTTTATAGTTTTTGATAGCAGTGATAATTGAGATTTTTTACAAATCATTTTGTTTTCCTTGGATAGCTTGAGGATCTCCATGGACTTTCTCACTCCATGGAATCCATTCCCATTGTTGCCTCATTCCAACATGTCGTGCTAGGCCTCCATTTATGTCGGATATATGGAATAGAAAACCACTCACATAGTGTATGACCAGGAGTAATTAAGATCAGAGGTCAAGGGTCAGAAAAGTAACTAACTACTCCAACAGACAGTTTATTTACACTTTCATTTCCATAAGGTAATGTGACCGAGACTAACTCTTATAATGTCATAAACCACTGTGTGACTAAACCAAATACTGCTACAACTCTAAGTAACTCGTCATAAGTCATTCGTGACCAACACCCATTGTGTCGGGGAACAACTTAAGTAACTACACTAAATACTGCTACAACTCTAAGTAACTCGCCATAAGTCATTCGTGACCAACACCCATTGTGTCGGGGAACAACTTTAGTAACTACACTAAATACTGCTACAACTCTAAGTAACTCGTCATAAGTCATTCGTGACCAACACCCATTGTGTCGGGGAACAACTTTAGTAACTACACTAAATACTGCTACAACTCTAAGTAACTCGCCATAAGTCATTCGTGACCAACACCCATTGTGTCGGGGAACAACTTTAGTAACTACACTAAATACTGCTACAACTCTAAGTAACTCGTCATAAGTCATTCGTGACCAACACCCATTGTGTCGGGGAACAACTTTAGTAACTACACTAAATACTGCTACAACTCTAAGTAACTCGCCATAAGTCATTCGTGACCAACACCCATTGTGTCGGGGAACAACTTTAGTAACTACACTAAATACTGCTACAACTCTAAGTAACTCGCCATAAGTCATTCGTGACCAACACCCATTGTGTCGGGGAACAACCTTAGTAACTACACCAAATACTGCTACAACTCTAAGTAACTCGTCATAAGTCATTCGTGACCAACACCCATTGTGTCGGGGAACAACTTTAGTAACTACACTAAATACTGCTACAACTCTAAGTAACTCGCCATAAGTCATTCGTGACCAACACCCATTGTGTCGGGGAACAACTTTAGTAACTACACTAAATACTGCTACAACTCTAAGTAACTCGTCATAAGTCATTCGTGACCAACACCCATTGTGTCGGGGAACAACTTTAGTAACTACACTAAATACTGCTACAACTCTAAGTAACTCGCCATAAGTCATTCGTGACCAACACCCATTGTGTCGGGGAACAACTTTAGTAACTACACTAAATACTGCTACAACTCTAAGTAACTCGTCATAAGTCATTCGTGACCAACACCCATTGTGTCGGGGAACAACTTTAGTAACTACACTAAATACTGCTACAACTCTAAGTAACTCGCCATAAGTCATTCGTGACCAACACCCATTGTGTCGGGGAACAACTAAAGTAACTACACTAAATACTGCTACAACTCTAAGTAACTCGCCATAAGTCATTCGTGACCAACACCCATTGTGTCGGGGAACAACTTTACTATGTCATAAATGACTTGTTTAATAAACTCTTTGCAACAGGGAACATGACATGTAGCCAACACCATATCATAATATGCTGCAAAGACTAAAATGTCATATTTTCTTTTGTTGGTGTTTGGTTTGGTTAAGCATGCAATTAAGCGCATCTGAACCCATTTCCAATTTGTATGATTATTTTGAAATGTTATAGAATCTTAATTTGTCAAAATTGTGAAGACAAATTTTATTTTATTTGATATCCTCAATATAATCTCAGTTGACTAACCTCGGTCTGTTTTGGTCAGGAATTTACCTGCACTTTTTACAACAGAAATTATCTGTTTCTCCCTTCAGAATAGATTTGAAAATTCACACTCAAGGAAACAAAATTCATTACAATGTTGTGTTTATGTTTCAAATACACTGTCATGCTAGTTTATATGAAGATAACATATTAAACTTAATAGTCCAATTGTAGACCAGGTTTAACAAAACAAAATCATTAAATCTCCCAAGAGACATTTCACCTTTTTTTTCTAAAAATGGAAGTAAGTTTTAATTGCTGGATAAATTGCTGTGAATTGGACATTTTGACTATGTTTGTTGGTTGGTCGACAGGACTAGATAAATAGATTATTTGCTGGGAAGTCTACAGGACTAGATAAATAGATTATTTGCTGGGTAGTCGATAGGACTAGATAAATAGATTATTTGCTGGGTAGTCGACAGGACTAAATAAATAGATTATTGCTTGGTGGTTGACAGGACTAGATAAATAGATTATTTGTTGGGTAGTCGACAGGACTAGATAAATAGATTATTTGTTGGATAGTCGACAGGACTAGATAAATAGATTATTTGCAGGGTGGTCGACAGGACTAGATAAATAGATTATTTGCTGGGAAGTCTACAGGACAAGATAAATAGATTATTTGCTGGGAAGTCTACAGGACTAGATAAATAGATCATTTGCTGGGTAGTTGACAGGACTAAATAAATAGATTATTTGCTAGGTACTTTAGGGGATATAAAAACCTATTACCGGTTTAATGGGAATATGGTGAAGTCAAAGAAATTTTGACAATCAACATGTAGTTTTTCTGTAGTTCTCTCAGTGAAGTGATGTTGTTTAAGTCTAAAGGACTTGTTATTTAGGGGCTTCACTAGGCCCTGCTGAAAAAGAGTGAATTTCAATCTTATCTTCTGGTTTTTGAAGGGCATCAAATGATATTTCAAGGTCGATCGATAGGTCACTGTTAGGAAAAAAATATATATATATATTTACATTTGCGCTGCAACCCACTATATGAACATTACCAGCAGAAATGCAAAAAACTCTCGTGACGTAACACGTAGTTTACTTATGATGTCATATATTAACCTTGCTCAATGAGAGTCTTGTCGCATCACTTCGGATATCATGGAGAATGCCACTGCGTCAAACTTTCAAATGACTACGGTTAATTATTGGCGCCAATTTTATTTAAATAGGGCTGCTCCTTCAATGTCGTTTTAAGGACGACGCATATACAAAACACAGTAAATGAATAAAAAAATTAAGAACAAAGAAATAAAAATCAATAATTGTTCTACAGTAAAAATGTAAATATATGGATTGAACAGCATTTTTAAAATTTTCATGCCGGTGTAACAGCCACTTCTTTCCCCCCCGCTGAAAGTTTCCCCGGGGAAAGAATCAGCTAGCTGATACCTTCCCCGGGGAAAAAATCAGCTAGCTGATTCTTTCCCCCACAAGATAGATTTTCCCCGGGGGAAGAAATCAGCTAGTGGATTCTTTCCCCGGGGAAGAAATTAGCTAGCTGATTATTTCCCTCTGGGGAAAATCACTAGCCAATTTTTCCCTTCCAGTGAAAATAACTGGCTTATTTTTTTCCGTCTCTTTTTTTTTTTTTTTTATTAATTTTAAGGGAGGAGCATACTATTAGCTAGCTGATTTCTTCCCCCGGGGAAAAAACTAACTGAGGGGGGAAAGAATCAGCTAGCCAATAGTTTCCCCCCTAGTTACGAATACAGAGAGGGGGGAAAGAATCAGCTAGACAATAGTTTCCTCCTGGTTACTAATACAGAGGGGGGAAAGAATCAGCTAGCCAATAGTTTACCCCCTAGTTACTAATACAGAGGGGCGAAAGAATCAGCTAGACAATAGTTTACCCCCTAGTTACTAATACAGAGGGGGGAAAGAATCAGCTAGACAATAGTTCCCCCTGGTTACTAAAACAGAGGGGGGAAAGAATCATACAAGGGGGGAGCATTAACTAGCAGATTTCTTCCTCGGGGAAAAAATCATAATATGGGGTGGGGGGAAAGAATTAGCTAGCTGATTTCTTCCCCTGGGGAAAAAACTAACTGAGGGGGGAAAGAATCAGCTAGCTGATTCATTTCCCCGGGGAAAGAATGAACTAGCCTATTTCTTCCCCGGGGAAAAAATCAGCTAGCCTATTTCTTCCCCGGGAAAAGAATCAGCTAGCCTATTTCTTTCCCGGGGAAAGAATTAGCTAGCTGATTTTTTCCCCGGGGAAACTTTCAGGCGGGTAAGGAAATGACTTCTACACCTGCCGGTATGAACACAAATGCCATTCAATCCATATATGTAATATATGTGTCAAAGGACTGAAGGTCACCATTGGTATGTAG